GGTGATTAGAGGCACGAGAAAGTGTACAGATAGGTGTTAATGATCTTTATTTACCTGACAGACACACGTGAAATATATATCTAATTTTCTTTTATTTCTTTAACTAATTATCGTCTTTTTTCTTTTACTTCTACTTTACTTTAATTCATTAAAAAAAATAAACGACCAAATAAACGTAAAAGAATATAAAGGACACAAAAAGAAAATTGTTTGGTAGTTAAGACAAGTATATTATGTCAACCACTGACCATTCTCTCTCTCTCTCTCTCTCTCTCTCTCTCTCTCTCTCTCTCTCTCAGTATGCACTGAGTATGTCTACACAGACGAACTTGGAAGACTGCACACAATCTGAACTTAGCAGTACTCACAAAGTTATAAACTAATCGCCTGCAGCAGCTTGGTGTGGAAACTGCAGGCAGAGTGCCTTCCCTTCTTCCACAGCTTTACAGGCTGTGGCGCTGTCTCATCTTTCAGTGGTTTTGACTAGAAGACTTCTTGGAATGTATGGCAAACTTGTCATGATGTAACGAATGTCTTCAAATCTCTTTCTAGCACACCTGGGGACATTTTATCTGCAGATCTGGCTATAATAGAGCTATTCATTGTGCTCATGTACAGCACCAGTGACCAGCTGACTGTTAATGATGCCAGACAACAACTCTTAACGAGGAAAGGTAGTCATTGCCAATATTCCCCAACCAAATCACCATTGTTACAGTATACCAGGAAGGTAGCATATCAAGGAGGACTTAATGATAGATTTCCCACTTAGTTGCCTATTTATTTCACTTATTCTGCCTGATATTAGTAATTGGATATTTTGGATACATAGTTGCCTAAAAAAAACCCAGAAAAATGGAGGCTATTTTTATTTTTTTGAAAAGAAGTTTTGTTAGCGGTATATTTTGATGTGGTTCCGTACCCAGTTTTTTTTTATGTAATAAACTACCATTCTGCCTAATATAATGTATGTAGCGTAATGTGCACAATTGTTCTCATATCCGCTGTATAAGCAGATCATGGTCCATATTGTTAGTATTTTTGTATATATGAATGACGGCAAGGGGCATACAACTGCGAAAATCAATAACGAATGCAACACACTAACAAACACCCCGCACAGACATACAAACACCATAAACAAACAACACCCCACACAGGTACACAAACACTCTACACATACCCTGTACATGCATCGTTCATCTATCATTCCTCCCCTCTATCAATCTCTCTCTCTAACACACATACACACACACATACACACACACACACACATACACACACACATACACACACACACCTCATGTATTCACTCACTCCATTCTCTCAATCCATCTATCCACTCATTCCTTTTTCTCTCTCTGTCTTTCTCTACCATTTTAACCGTATTCTTCTCTCTACTGTCTCACTTCGTACGCATCAAGGGAGAGAGAGAGAGAGGTGGGGGTGGGGGGATACGTGGGACTGGGTTGAGCAAGAACGCCCACTCAATTAGTTCGTTTCTATGACACACACACACATGTAAATAGACGAAGCGGTTCCTGTCTTCTGCTCGTACATAATGTATTGACCATTTATTGTAGACTTAACTATACATTTGTACCATTTATTCACTAAGATATTTTACCAGGTTCTTGTGGACGAAGTTTAAAGCAAATAATGAAGATGATAGAAGATAATTAAAACTTGACTAGTGTTCTCAGGACGTGGTTATCTCTCTCTCTCTCTCTCTCTCTCTCCCCATTGTTCATCGCTTTTAAATTTATAAAAAATACTTAACATATCATTTAGTACATTATGTAAATGTATCGGATCAGTTGAAGGAATTTAGATACTGACTACAATATGTATTTAACGAAACTGTTGTTTAAAGACTGCTGAAATATTGGCAAACATTGTGTCCAAACACTCTGTTGACTTACCCGATTACCTGTTAAGTTTAAATTTGCTCAATCCATTTAGCAAATTTAACTCACCGTTGGCTACAGGTAATTTATATTCATTGCATGACATAAAGAGTTACGACACTGACCTAGAGAGTTTCAGGCTGTCATTTCACAATTAAAACTTTAGTTGAAAAAATCAGGGTGTAAAATCTGTGACACGTGTGGGTGTGTAACTCACTAGACCACCTGTGTATATATCACTTACTTGTCTCCAAATGGTTGGTTAGGTGGTAATAAAGGAAACACAGGGTCAGAAAGACAACTTTGCTTGTGGCGTTTCGTCTCGAAGAGCTTTTTCAAAGGAATTAACACAAGGGTGAATTAAGTTGAGTTAAATTGTCTTGATTTGCTGCCCGTCACCGCTTGGGTCCGAAGCAATGTAACACAAAGTTGATGTTAAAATGTTTTACTGCACGTCGACAACTAAGATCTTTCAGCGAAAACAAGGTCAGTAATAACTCTCGTGACTAGAGTAATTATGATATATAAAACTCTGACACAAGGAGGAACTGAACTGAACTGGATTTTCTGTCCGTCAGCGCTGTCACACCGGTGATTTGGTTTGTATCTAGTTTTGTTGGGTCGGGCATGGACAACAGGATGAAGCCAAAGCCACGCCCTAGTACGATCCAAGCGATGCTGCACTTCCTCTTAGTTGTTGGTGCGTCTGGTCGACCATGTTGCCATATCTTTTATCTATGAACCTTCCCCACCTCCCCCACTCCTCCAAACACCTTCCCCCACAGCGCAACCCCTATAAAATTAAAGTCAATTACTCAAACCAAAGATAAAACTGTGAGAGAAATTGCCGACAAAACGTTACAACATTGTTCACACCTTAGTATATAATGAGAGATATTATATGTCTGGCGGAAATACATCACTAGTTACTGAGACATACAAAACCCGTGTAGCTTACTGGTGTTAACGACGGACATAGCCTTCATCCCAGTCTTATCGGCGGAATAATAAATACTTTTTACCCTGCATTAATTATCCTCTTTTTGATCGGGGTTAGGTGTATTTCTCTCTCTCTCTCATCGCACCTACCTGACTGGTCTAACATGTACAGTAGGAGAGGGGAAAGTGTATCTTTGTTGGTGCTTGACGAGGCGTAACTCTTTACGTAAACACTGGTCGGCAAGCAGGGAGAGTCAGGCTCTCCCAGTGACTCACTACAGAAAGTCGATAGAAGGCTGCTGTTGAACTTTCCCTCTTTATTAATGACTTGGAGAGTGAAAACCGTTGGTGGTCAACTGACGCATCGTCTTACGCCAAGAGCAGTGACTGGCCCCGTTAATGGTGCAGCGACGACGACTATATATGTAGGGTTGCCATACGTCCGTATTTTCCCGGACATGTCCTCCATTTAGGTCTCGAAATCTTCATCCGGAAGGAATTTTTAAAATTCTTGAAAAGTCCGGAATTTCAGTTTCCATCATTTTCTCCACGGAAAAAAACATGAAATTGTGATGACGAGAGAGAGAGAGAGAGAGAGAGAGAGAGAGAGAGAGTGGAAACCGTAGAGATCTCGTTCATTTTTTGTCAGCTGATAAGTCACTTGTACGCCTGTATGGTGTTGTCAACTTAGCTGTCAAATATTTGATTGATAAGGGGGTAGAAGTTGATGATGTGAAGTGTTTTGACCAAGTTAGTAACCTGAAGCAGTTTGTGGAAAATTACAAGAGTGATGAAGAATTTAGTAATCTGCCAACACATAAAAAGTGGACCAGATACTTTGAAAAATCAAAGAACATTGAATGCCACTAAGAATTGCTAAGAATTGCACAATTCTTCTTTGCTATATCATCTCACAATGCAAATGTAGAAAGGGTTTTTTCACTGATGCAAAGTCAATGGACAAAGGAAAGGAACAAATTGAGTGTTGAAACAATGAAAGGCATTCTGACTGTACAGTACAACTTCCGAGAAACACCTTGCAGTGACTTCTATACCTTTCTAAAGAGCAATCAGCCAATACTGAAAAAAGATCCGATCTACAGAAAAGTATGCATGGGCACATCAAGTCACACACACAGTGGGGGAAGAAGACTGCAGCTAAGGGAATAAAGATGTTGAGCCTTAAGCAAAGGCAATTTTTTATTTTTTTTTAAAGATTTCTATACCATGTATGTTGTATATTAGCCTGTGTGTGCCGGGCGGGGGGGAGGATGTCTTCGGGAGCGTCCTCTTTTTTTAATGTTCAGATATGGCAACCCTATATATATATATATATATATATATATATATATATATATATATATATATATATATATATATATATATATATATATATATATATATATATATATATATATATATATATATATATATATATAAGGGAAAACCATCACACAAACGGAAAATTCATTTTGCATTCATAGAAAATGAAGTAATGTTCATAATATTTTTATTATGCAAATTTATATTGTTTCTAATGATAACGCTAATGCTGTTGGTAATAATAATAATAATAATAATAATAATAATAATAATAATAATAATGCATGAACATTTATGTAAATGAAATCAATAAATACGAACACACGAGAAGAGCACTATCTCTCACTTTCACATCAACTCTCCCTAGTGGACCATCACCACCCTCCCGGAATATTAACCTCGGCTACAACAGCACGGCGGTTTCTCCGTCATCGGAGCTTACTTTACTAACTTTCCTTTGGCCTCAGAGAGTTGAGATGTACAGTAGTGAGAATTCCCTCCAATACTTAGTCATTATAGCTTGATAATGGTAATTTAGAAAGTTTATGGCTGGTTTTCACCTTCATCAAAATATGACTCTTAGCACTGAAAATTAGTATAATTTCCGGCTGACAGATGAGGACGTTAATATCGAGCGTTGATTGCCAATAATAATTTAGTGTTGTGAAAAAGATGTCAGTACAATATAAAACAAGTACAGTTCTTTAGCGAGTCGAAAGATAGCGTTCATTCTCAACAGCATACACCCACTATCGTCACCACATACTAACAACAGTTTCACTTGTACCATCGGCAGCACTATTAAGTAACTTTCTTCTCTTTTACTTGCAGAGAGCAGTTGTCTGGCACCAACTGAGTAATGACTCGCCACGGGAGAAGTCAGAAAGGGGAAGACTTATCCTACAGGAGCTCGTGTAGTGTGCAGTCACAAATGGCGCCAGCACCTCCTTCACTCTCCAGACCTGCTGCTTCCCAGTGGTGGCTCCTCAGGGGCACGCAGTCCTTCCTTTTTGTGATTTTCTTGGCTTCCTGTCCCAGCTCGACCTCCTCGGCCTCAACTCGGCGGATTAATTCTCGGTTCCTTGATCTAGGGAACAATGAAAACTTTTCTAACTACACTCGCGTGTACCGGGCTCTGGACGAGGGCATGAGGGACTCCAGGCGGCTCAACGCAGCCTTCAGAAGCGTTGATATGGGTCGAGCACTCAACGTGTTCGACGTGGCTCGGGCCATCGTCCCAGGTGGGTGTTACGTGTTGTGCAGTGATTATTAAACCCATACTGGCTGGGCGCGGTGTGTTGTTGACTAACTCACCGCCGGCTGAGCGTAGTGAGTAGTGAATTGAGCTGAAATTTGGACCAAGTCTTTATGTGGAACCGGTAAGTGCAACTTAAAGCAGAGATAAGTACCATCATGAATTTCTTGTGCCTAGGGGACATGTATGAAGGAATGAAGTACTGAAAAAGAAAATAAGAAAATTACACGAAGAAAAATAAATAAAAAACCATTCAACAAGTCTATCCTTTTTACATGTTAACAATATTATCTTCGTCCTTTTATTTCATATCTCGGTAAGCTCAAGTTCAGTGACTTTTCAGATTTCTTAAAGTACATTTCATCCTTCCAAAACTCAAGGGACAGAAAGGTGTAAGTAGAGAGAGTTTAGCCCATCATCGTGCAAGGTGAGTTAGTTAATGTCGCCCTTACTGTTACTGCATGGTGGCGGTGCATGTCTCGACCCTCTGCCTTCCCGTTTCCTCCTCCCACTGTGCGTGTTTGTGTGTGTCGAAATGTTTGATGTTATTTCCGTTGTTGACGACAGCATCATTCTTCCCTAAACTTATAAACTATTTCAAGAGGAGCAAAGAAGAGTTAGATACACTCCTTGTATATACACTGTATGATATACAATGTGTCAAATCCAGCAACCTGTAAAATATCAAAGAAAATTTTCCATTTTATGTCGTTAATGTTGTGTATAGGTTAGGTTATCCAGCTGGAAACTGCAAAAAAAAAAAGAAAATCACACTGAACCGAACCTCATTTAACCTAACCTGAACCAAAATTGCATAAACTGTGAATGTGTGAGAAATCCGTAGATGTATAGCGTGCTTCCCCTGGGCAGGGATCCGTCATGGGAAGACACAGTGGATACTGCCCTGACAACACCGGCAGTAAGTCTACTCAGTCTGAAAATAAAGAGTCAAGAAACACTGCCTCAAACAGAGGAAATATACACGATGAGAATGACACACAGTCAACACCATGGAAAGGCATAACGGGGGAAGAGGCAGAGGCGTGGGTCACAGATGCCTACTCAAAAGTTGTCCGGTGGTCCCCAAATAACCTCTTCGAGCCACCTAAATGTGGGGCCACCAAAGAAATGATCAGGGAGATGACTCGCCTCATACATAATTACACTCACGAGAGCTCCCTGGCCCCAATAGCTCAAAATATACCTGCAGTAATCACCATCTATTCTGCCAGAGAACACACGCAAGGAGTAAGTGTATGGAAAATGTGGCAACAGTGATTAGAAAAGTCTGTCAATGTGGCAGAATGGTGATCTTGATGATCTAAGTGAAGCAAGAACACTACAGGAGAGACTGAAATTTTCGGGTGGCGGAAAGCAAGTCACTGAGGATGCTGCCAGAAAGTTTCGTAATAAAATGAGTGCCGGAAAAGTGTCCTCGGTGGTAAGATCTCTCGCAGAGGAATCTTCCGGCTGTGGGCTGCCAATAAACAGACTCAGAGAGACCTTACAGCTACTGAAGGATAAACACCTCTCCGCAAGTGAAGAAGAAGTCATCAAGTTCCAGAGTGATTATGTCCCTCCAAACGCAGTTATGTTCGAGAAAATAACAGGATGCAGATGGATGGAGAGTCATCCTCAACATTAACAAGTTTGGCGACGCAGCAAGTGATCTCTGCAATGCCACCGCCGCCGCCCCTGCAAGGCAACATCAGGGAACTTGCTGGGGAAGAAGCTGCTATTCACGCCACGAGAAAGATATTTGAGCTGCGTGATTGTGAGGCTGTACTCCTGATAAACGCCTCCAATGCTTTCAACATAATCAACCACAAGGCTACACGGCACAACATCAAGATCAAGTGTCTAAGCTTTGTAATGTATGTTGAAAACTCCTACAGGAACCCGACAGACCTCTATAAAACCAGCTTCATTAAGGCCCTAAGAGGAGATACCACCAGACAGTCTACGGAGGGGGATTCAGTCGCCATGGCAATGTATGTATACATAAAGCCTATCCGTGCTCAACACACAACAAACTATGAAATAACCAAGGTCAAGCAAGGAGCATATGCCAATGACTTAACATGAGTTGGAAAAGTGGAGGACATCAGAAAGTGGTGGGACCTGGTAACATCACATGGTCCACAAATAGGGCACTACCCAAATGCCAGAAAGTCCTTCCTCATTTTGAAACCAGAATACTACGACCGGGCTATAAAGGTGTTCAACGAAAGTGAGTTCAAAATAAGTAAGGACGGTCAAAGACACCTAGGTGCGGCAATCGGCACGAATGATTTCCAGATCAGGTACGTAACAGGAAAGGTAAATGAGTGGGTGATATTGCTAAAACTGAGCAACATGCAGCGTTTCTAGCAGTCACTCACAGAGTCAAGATTCGCTGGAACTACCAGATGTGCACTATCCCTGATGTCGGACCTCTCCTCCACCCTCTGGAAGAAACCATCAGGGTCGCTTTTATTCCAAGACTAGTGAAAAGCAACCACCTAACCACACCGAGACGGGTGGAATGGGAATTATTAATCCAGAGGACCTTGCTGCCACAGACCATCAGAACTCTGTCAAGATCACGGCAGCCCTCACTGAGCACATAGTAGCTCAAAATGTAGCAAGCGAGGTGGACACCAACGAATTACACAAGATTTGACTTTCAATTACAACAGAACGGCAGCACACCCAAAGTGAAAAGCTTCAGCAACTGATGCAACAACTGTGTGAACTTGAGGAACAAGTAGCTGTAGCGCAGGAGGTGGGAGCCTAATGCTGACTAACAACGTCACCGATAAGAGCAAAAGGTTTCAGCCTTAGCAAACAAGAATTTACAGACGCCATTGCTCTAATGTACGGCAGGCCAGTCGAAGGTTTCCCCACCCAATACGTGTGTGGCTCATCCTACGGTATCGACCACGCCATTTTGTGTAAGAAGGGCGGCGTGGCTTCGTATGCATGAGGCATGGAAGGGATGTTCACAGCGAATATGCTGAAGGAAATCTGCCACGACCGATCCGCCTTCCATTGGACGGTAAGAATCTCCATCACAGGACTGCCAACATAACCAACGAAGCCTGTGTGGACGTCAGTGCTCGAGCATTCTGGACGTGGGGCCAGCGAGCCTTCGTTGATATCAGGATATTCGATCCCGCGGCTGCATGTCACCATAACCTGTCTCTCGGGGCTGCACACAGGAGGAACGAGAACGACAAGAACCTAAACTAACCTGATCTAACTTAACCTAACCAAACGTAACCAAACCTTACCTAACCTAACCTAAGTTAACCTAATTTTGTTTAGCATTGCCTAACTTAACCTAATACAACATGGCCTAACCTAACCTCACCTAACTTTAGCTGATAAGATCTGACTTAACATTACCTGACCTAAACTAACCTAACTTAGCCTAGCCTGACCTAAAACAAATTTAGCTCAATCTAACCTAAGCTACCCTGGTCTGACCTAACCTAACCTAACTTAAATCTGTCTAGGTAACGGAATTATTCAGGTAAAATGGACAGGTGTGTCTAATCTTCAGGTGATCTATAAATATTTCTATCTTGTATAAATGTTGATTGTCTTCTCCAGCCTCTCATTCACCTGACAATGAATCCACTAATTAAACTTTCACCTGTAAACAACTATCTCTCTTGTAGCCTCTTGAGTGTGACTGCATGAACGAACTAAGACAGACAGATAGACAGACAGACAGCTGAAGCATGATGACAAGTAAGTACTGACCACTTCAACTTTACATTAATAGGAATATTTTATGACAAGGGTAAGGTTGTATGTATTATGTACGAATATTAATCTGTACAGTGTGTGTGTGTGTGTGTGTGTGTGTGTGTGTGTGTGTGTGTGTGTGTTTTACAAGAGTTTCTATGCTTTATATGTTTGTAGGAAATTGGAAACTAAGCACTAACTCATAAAAATATGCCATATTAATATCTAACTTCAATTACAATTAATTTTGTGTCTTTTATATTTAACTTGGAAGCAGATTTTTAACAATAAATTGGAATACTGTATACAGTTTAGGGTTAATAACATAAAGACTTACAGATTGATATTACTGAAAGATTGGCTTGGCATAATTCTCCTGATATCTGTATCTGTGTGCCTGTATGTGCTCACACGTGTGTATTTTATTTTAATGGGGATTAGCCACCCGGGCACAGGTCACCGACCCACATCGGGGCCTGGGGGCAAATTGCACCATAAAAATATATAAATACAGAAATGGAAAAATATAACAGATCAAGAGTGATAAACGATATATGTTGTGTTGTCAAAGTAAGAGAAACAATTGAGACCCTGCAATTGTGTGTAAATGAGGCAGAAAGTCAGATCAGCAACCTGGGACTTGGTCACAATTTTGGTGATGCCATATGGCAGCAGGGTCTACCATTAGACAACACATTATGCTTCCAATATCTCCCCAGGCGGTAGTACCTCCCTGTTTGGTAGCTGCCTACTACCTACTAAGGACTAAAAATAGTATCTTATCCTTGCTACCTACCTTGTATGTACAGTATGTTTGTGCGCGTGTCTGTACTGTATGTGTGTTCGCGTGGTTTTGAATTTATGGTCAATAGATCCTAAACGACTGACTCTTCTTAACTACCAAGACTGTTCAGTGTTGAGGGAGTAAGCAACGTTTTCTTTGATTGCTGTAAATAAAAAGGTTCAACTATTGTAAAAAAATATGATTTCTCATCTCATGTACTGTAAATAAATTTTCTGTGAGATACTAATTATTGTACAACTGTCATTCAGTCGTACAACTCTGCTTATGGCCAATAACAGCATGTCCGTAAGAGTGCCACATATTTACCTGTTAAGTAATTAGTTCCATTGCGACCTGACTTTAATCTTTTGTACTTATTATTTTAATCTTATATTCAGTCTTTTACTTGTAGCAGTGTTATATATTTCTATTATGACTGATCTTATAGCTGTCTTCAGTCTTATTTCATG